CAGTCAATATACCTCCTTGATTTTACCTCGGGATTTCTTCTCATCAAAGAGAATGTAACCAGGGAGTTACTCCCTGATATAAGTAACCAAAGACTTCATTTTTTTATCAATCATCAGGACTTTTTTTCTTCCTTTGCATCTCCTTTTAAACAAATATGAGAAATGAAAGTTAACCTACAGTAACCAAACCCACCCCAAACAAAAAACCCTCCCCTCCCACGCACTCCGCCATACCCTTTCCCTAGTGACCGGTCATTCGTACTATTTGGATTGGAGTAGGATATATATCATTTGGAGTATGCTATAATAAGCTCTAACAAGACAAGTTAGAGCTTGGGGCCTCTTCGGGGGGGGGGGGGGGGGAGTATATTACGTAATAATGATGATAGTCATTTGATGGTGTATAATGTTGTATCCGGATAACTGTCATCGTTGGGGATTATGGGGATTATGAACCGTCTCCTTCGATGATGATGAAGCAAAAATTATGTAAGGCATATGAATCATAATGTACAGGTGTCGTGGTCGTGGTCTAGTGGATAAGTCACCGGACTGCGGATCACATGGTTCACGGTTCGAGTCCCACTGCGGCATTAATGTCCTTTGGCAAGACATTTATCTACATTTGACACACTTGACCCAGGTGAGGTACATAGGTACCAGGAAGGAAATGTATTCCTTGAGTTGAAATGCTAGAGCGCCATATTAAATGGCAGCCATGCTAAAGACGGGGTAACTAATAATTGGGAGCGCCAGAAGTGTCAAGTTTGACCAAGGTTTGACAGACATGAGCGTTATACAAGAACTATTATAAACATTATTTATAATAATTACGCACAGAGAGCTACTGCACTTTTCACCATTCAAAGGTATACACTACACCAGGCCTAATCGATGTTTTACTTGTGGAAGCCGAGAAGAGGCAAGTGCAGAAAGAAGTCACTGCAGGTATTGTTTAAATTAAATCCATTGCATTGAAATTGTACCAAGTGACTTATGCTATCAAACTCATTCGTTTCTCCAATCCGTCGATAGAGCATTATCCTGGGCCTGCTGAAGCGAAATTCACAACTACTGATAAAGGCTTATTTTCCGTACAAATTTTATCGAAATTACGTAATCACTCGTATAAATGTTCATGAGATCATGCTTTCTCTTTTGCAACCTAAATATATTGTTTTTAGTACCAATCACATCCTTTGTTTTCCATTGTTCGTGCACTTTGTAATTAATTGTTCGTCGGTCATCACGCTTCGGTTCTCACTCGAGCCAGCTGCACATGTCAAAACATTGCTCCATAGGGCTTCATACCAGAAAACGGGTCATCGGTTTTATGCATTGTACTGCAGCATCCCGTGGTGATTTTCTTTCTAAAGAAAAATATGAAATGATCGTCGGATTTATATCTCACATGGGGGCATATTGTTATGGTTACACCACCTGTGTATGTGAGTCATTTTATCGATGTTTTACTTGTGGAAGCCGAGAAGAGGCAAGTGCAGAAAGAAGTCACTGCGGGCTGTTGAGGGGGGGGGGGGGGGGTATTAGGGGATATATGAGAACGTATGGGAGATGATAATAATAATGGAGACTAGCTACGATGGCAGGCTATACTGTATGCCTATAATATAGCAGGGAATATTCCACACAATTTTTTTATATAATCAATCAAGAATATTGAAACCATATACAGTTATATAATATGGCTTATTATATAGCTCTATGATTGAAACATGTTTCCCTTAATCCGAAAAAGGGGCCTACCTCGTATTCAATATTTCTATGTGCTTTCTCATAATTTATTTGCATGGGGGCGGGGGGGGGGGGGAGAGATAATCATTTTCATCTCTACTTCGTTCCCCACCAATTTACACAAGTGAAAGACAAATTAGACAGCGCTTTAACATCGTGGAAGAGTAATAATCAATTTTGTAATACTAAAATTCTGCAATCGCTTGATGTTTTAATCAGGTTCACAGACCTGCATTCTGATATAAGAGATAATATGAGCATGGTGAGGACTATGCAACGCGAATTATTCTCAGAATCCTAGCACATTATTATTAGATCGGATACTGTGATTACGACAGGCTTTCATAAATCATGTAATTTGTGATGAAAAGGAAAAGAGTAAGCTCTATCATTTCACCACCCATCCTCTCAACCCTAATGATCATGATTGTATTGATTGATGCGCATGATGAGGGTGACTTCCTATTATCATACCATATTAGGAAGTGTTCGGGACTGATCTAGCTATCTATTATAACACTCACATATTGTATCCCTAGCCGTGCTGTCACAATTTAGATGCAATGTTTCTTTAACATGATGATTAATTACACATCAGAAAGCAATGGCCGACCTCCAAAAGGAGTTAAATTCGAGTATTGTGAAACAGAACTGCGGACTGTTTTTGTCATGGATTGCATTGATCTGTAGGCCTACCATGGACTTGTCAGGTACCTTTTCATCTCATATACTTTGTCCTCAGATTTACTATGGTGTTGAAACGCCAAAACGGTACCGGGTAGCATTACTTGGTGTGAGTTGCTTTATCTGGCAATCACATATTGCTACCGTCCACTGCAGCCGAGTTGGTCAATGGTGGTAGGTCTATGGTCAAACTTTGTGTAAAGTTGTAAACTAGTAAAGATTCAAGTACCCCGTCCCCTTTTTGTATAGATAGCTCTTGCAATCTCTGTCACGAGCGTACTGCTGTGCGAAAAGTGGTAACGCTTTCAAATTCATCGTTAGCGCCTTATGATGCTCAACATTTGGCAATGTAATCATGCTTTTATTGTATGTGGAGATTAAGGTTTGATTAATATCCGAGGAGACAGGTGCAGATAGAGTTGTTTCATTTAGGTTAATGGGAGTTCCATATCATGTTAAACCACGGAAAAGTGGTTAGGATCATTTTCCTCCGATATCCGCATGTTCTTCTGTGACGTGGAGCTTTCGTTTTTATGTTCAGTTTTTGGGTAGTTCCAACATTTTAGTGATATGTAATGAAAATAGAGTGATAAAATTCTTGTTAATTTTGTATTTCAATTCCCTCTAAAGAAATTTGAATTTCAGGGTAAAGATGCTTTAGATTTGTTTTTATCCCCTGGTACATGGTGCATATGAAAATGGCTGAAGGGGCTCTCTGCCATCAATTCCATTTTATGTGACCGTGTGGGGATTAATCTTCAGTAAATGGGTAATAACGCTTAAAGATGAAGTTGAGTTCTGGTAATGCGATTGCATTGTGAAAGAAACAGTGTGGAATGGATCAGAAACAGTTGATCATGTAGCATGTAAGTATTGGTGTGCACTGCAAGGTTCTGGAGTCATCAAAATCATAATAAATATGGCCGAGTCTTGGTAAAGTAACAAGCACTGTACACAGAAAGCTGTATATGGGAAAACACTCACGGTGTCGGGGCTAGTACTACCTTGATTTCCTTGTTTTTCTATGCTCATTACTCAGTCAGTATACATTTTCTTCCAAAATTGTTTGGCAAATGTCATTTATTTGCAATCTTGAACATTCAGTGTAAGTTTCGTTTGGTTCTGTGAGAATTATTATTATTATTTTTTTTAAAACCAGAACTGGAGTTTATCTTTAATCAAGTTTTATATAGTCTAGGCATGCATAAGTATATAGATAGACATGCATGCATTAGCTCTAGGTTGGCAGTGTCCTCTTATTCTGAAGCACTACGTTGAATGGCAATTTGGCACCAATAATGGTGTTGGATTATCTGTAACGGAAAATGGATTTTGTTGAGCATACACACAATCGGATGTAATGGGTTAATTACACTGTCAACTGATATCAAACATTCCCAACAGGCAGATAGGCAGTTAACTAACCATCTAATATTGTCTAATTACTGCTTTACAATCCAAGGTTGTCGAAACACCATTAATCAGCCATTATTCAGCGCATTAACCAAATCCAGATTGTGAGATTCCGGAAGTCGGCTTTTGGCCCTCGTTGACACAACTTATCACCAAGTTCAAGGTCTCCCATAATCCACAATGACAAATCTATTTCACTGTATGACTTCAGTATGGCCATCTCGTCTAATCCCGTTGTCAAATACCAACAATTGCTTCCGGTAAAGGAGTTATTTATATGTCAGAGGTCACGCGGACGGGAAACTGCCGAAATTAGCCGATGATAGCCGATGTCTCTGGACGGACGTATCACATTGAGAAACTCGATCAAGGATGGTGGATGTTTTAGAAAAATCCTGAAAGTGATAATTTATTGATTCCTGTATGGTTTTATAAATAGATTATCTTGCTTAACAAACAGTTGTCGTGACAAGTGTGTTTTCATTTCGAAACGAAAGAGTCCACAATTATTTGTAAGATCGTATAGATTGAAAGACGAAAGAGCAGAGATGGCTATCAGTGATGAAAAGAACACATAATATGAAAAAAGTGGCTAATTTATAAAGAGGTTAATGGGAAGAAAAAGACTAACAGGTATAGTGGTGGTTATTTTACCTGACTGCTAAGAAAGTATAAATTCATGTTAGTAAGCAACCGACGGCTTTCCGAGGGACCTGGCAATGAGGATTATTGCCTTATACCAAAGAGCACTGGCGCATCAACTTGGTTTTGAAGTTCGAACCCGGGTCGCCGGATTACGAGACCACTGCTCTGCCAACTGAGCTATCGCGCCTCCTCTACAAATATTAATTGCTCTAGAGAGTCCCTCAGAAATTATATCTAAATATCGGCCCACCGAAAGACAACATTTTCATAATAAACATATACTGATTAAGACCCAGTGTAGGCTTCGAAAATGTATAATTAATTGAAGGGACATTTCTAGAGCATTCTCGTTTACAGCATCCTAGATTTTTAGAGAAAATATGATAATGAATTCAGATTTCGAATGCCGAATTTTTAATAGCGAAAACGCAATGTCTTACATGATTATAATTGATGGTTAATTCATTAACTTTGTATACATTTTTCTTTGTTTTTATCTGCTCCAGGATTTCTTGCAAGGCCCCTCCCTCGAAGCAGAACGGAACAAGCAACAACAACCCCCAGCGAATCAGCAACCATAATGCTTCCATCACCTCCTCACATAGCTCACTCAGAGGACGCCAGCTACGTCGACAGGTGGAAATCACCAAAAACCTTTTCTATGTCGTCTGCGCGTTTCTCATCTGCCTCACGCCGTACAGCGTGTGTCTTCTCTACGACGATAGCGACCCGTTCGTCCCTTACGCCGCCGCCATCGTCTTCTGTAACTCGTGCATAAATCCCATCATCTATGCCACCAAACATCCATATTTCAAGAAGGTCTTCAGGTGTATTCTCACATGCAAATGCAGTGATATCCCTGAAGCAGCTGACGTCATCAAAAGGGTGTCAAAAAAGACGAAGAATAATCGTACGGGATGCCGGTCTACGACGTATGAGATGTGACAAAGAAAGGAAACAAAATCGTTACAAATAGAACAATATGTATGAAAGTGACGATTATACGATAATTGTAACATGAACATTTCTTGAAACGAGACAAAAATATAAGACTTGCAGCAAATTTATCTTTTTGTTCAGCGTTTTAGAGAGCGGTCCGCTCGTTATGACTGCTAAGACAAAAATTTGAAAACTACTGGCACTGTACACTGAAACACCGAATGCCGATGTGAAGTAATCGAGAGTTTGAGCATGGTAACAGAATGAGAATGGAGCAAATGAGCTCACATGAACCGTAGTAATTCAATGATTTGTTACCATGTCTCAGCATGTTCAAAGGAACTAAAAAATCGAAATCGATGGATGCATCTAACAACAGTATAACATGGATGCAATGGTTCAGGAAAATACAGTTTGATGTACAGAATTTTCGTCAGTTCACAAAACATTGGTTAGTGAAATCAATGATATCACAAAATTATTGAGCTGCTATTGCATCGACTCTGGTCTGATTTTTTAAGGATCGTTCTCCGATTTATTTAGTTTTATGATAATAATGACAAAATTCAATTCAGTGGGAATTTTGGTCGTTTCATTTAATCATCTTTGGTATAATAAAAGATTGTATAAATGCTTGCGGCCTTGAATATGGCAAAACTTCATTAAATTCAACGTCTTAACAATCATTTTTTTAAATAATTCTTCCCATTGGGAAGTGGAATTGCTCAGCAAATTAAAAGTTTTCATTGCAACTCACTCATGAATGTTTGCATCGTCACGTGAATGAACGCATGTAATATGTTGTTACTCAGCAATAATATCTCCCCCGAAAAAAAGAGCAGCGAGCTTCCACTTGTTAATTTCTATGTAGAACTCTAACTCTTTGTATGAATAACAGTAACATCTCTTTATCAGCATTTTATGAATGTACTTGCCTAAATGTTGTTAACATTCTATTTATTGTGGGTAATGTTTTTAAGTTGAGTTTAAGGCTGAAAAGAAAGTAAGTTAAAGTGTCTTTTATTGCCTTGATAATAAGAAGAAGCAATGGAATCTTCCTCTGTTCTTGCCTTTGCATTTTTTACAATTTTTTCTAAAATTTTCTAATCGTTTTCATATTCTTAGCGTGGCGTCATTTGTCAACAGGTTACCGGACCAAACCAAAGCTATTTTTCTACATTGTTCAAGTTTTCATTTACATGTGGTACGATCAATTAATGTAGTCTAATTTGTCAACAGTTCGTCGTATAACCATATTTTGTCTAATCATAACCACATTCGTCTAATGATGATAATAATACTGATAATTATGATGAGAATGCTAATAATAATAACTGGATTTATGTAGCGCCTTTGCCAGAGAACACAAGGCGCTGTCACCGATCTCTCTATCACCTGCATGTATATAATACGTTTTCCGATTTTAAAAAAAGGCAATAGGATTTTCTACAAAAAAGGTTAAAGAAAAAGGAGAGAAATATTTCCTGTATGCGTAGATGAAAGCTAAAACATTAGAGAAACAATTGAGTGGATTCAAATGAATGAAAAGAAAATTAAGAAGACGTTTTTATCGTAGAGCCCTCACTACGACAATTGACAAAATCTGATGAAGCTAAGCTTTTTATTGGGTCATGAGAGTAATTAAATAAAATTAGACTTGAGGTCTCTTGCATTTGCAACTTATAAAGTAATCGTTACAGAGGAGACACCCGGATTGACAATAGATTTAACAAAATAAATGTCCATAGTGCGTTGTCTCACCTACATGTTGGAAGATATATGTTGTACTGTACATGTAGATCAAATTACAATAAATCTGTCAAATATTTTCGTGAGACCATGTTGGAGGATGTGATATGTTTTTCTTTAGATGTGGGAGACTTTCGATGATGTCTGAAATGGAGAAACAAAAATGATTGATTATGGTTTTGTAAAGTGAGACCCCTATTAAAATATGATATTTTCTCTCTATAGTCTAGCGCTTCCGAATCGGGACAAACAAATCAAAGAAAGTTATAACTCTCTGTTTCTATAGTCGACCATCTGTTGTATGTATGCATGTCAGTATGGGATGGGCAATAGCTTATTATTCTCAGATTAAGAGTCGCTAAAGATAAACTTGAGATAGACGGGAAATACATCCTCACCTGATCAAGTCAATCTTTCCACTCCATTTTCAAGACTGTAATGTGTCAGACGATTTTGCGTAGTTAATCATAATCGAGTAATTCATTTGAAATTGTGACATTCGAACTGGATTATAAAAACAAGTTTTACGCTCTCACGAAGCACTACATCATTGTATCTATCTACTAAGGTATCTTCCCCCAGCTTATAGTGGGTTGATTGCACCATGTTTCCACATATCTTTGTTATCTGCCATTCAAGCGCCATTCCACTCCAAGTCTCAGTGTTCTCCTCCCAGTTAGTTCTTGGTCTACCTCTTGGTCCATTCTCCAAGAACCCCATTGTCATATCACGATGATGCAACACGAATATACCTTTGAAAGCATTAACGGTAATTATGATTATGAATGTACATGGCTGTGTATTAAATGTTTCATGTAAATAATATTTAATGTATTATGTGTATAATGTGCATTGTTCTCAATATTCTTGACATTTTCTGTTTCTGTAATGCAAGCGGTGTACAATAAAAGAACGTTTTACATATGATATATATCTTTGCCATTTTTTGTCTTTATTATAAAAATACAACAAAACAAAACAATTTTTTTTTTTACAAAATATGTTAATTTTTTCAGCATCTATCAAGGTGATTGTCAATGTTATAAGAGAGTCGAAGTAAACGATTCAAAGTTTAGTAATCGACTGTGCATGAATGTCATAGACCTATTTTCAATTATTTGATAGCGAAACAAGTCGAATTCGAACAGTAAGTTGGACTTTTTAACAATAGGGACTTTTAGATTTGCGTGGATTGATACGTGTGACGTCCATTCAAGGCAGTGCATAAAAAGGACGTCGATCGTAGCAATCCACGTTGTCGTTCGGCAAATCTAAAAGTCCCTATTATTTTGATTGTAGCTATTATGCTGAGAGCTACATGAGAGAGAGAGAGAGAGAGAGAGAGAGAGAGAGAGAGAGAGAGAGAGAGGGGGGGGGGGGGGTTATTGCCGGAGAAAGAAAGAAGATAACTAGAATGAATGGTCACGTGATAGAGAAGGGAGAAAGAGGGGAAGTGGGGGGGGGGGGGCATGAAAAGAGAAAGGTACACGTGTAAATAGAAAGAGAGAGAGAGAGAGAGATTTTTTTTTTATAAGACTATTGATTGATTTCATTTGATATCTGCATCTTTCCAATTACAATAACTGAGTAACAAAGAAAATGTAAACGTAAGGTATAACAAACAATACTAATTTCATGTCAAAATGTTATTTACATATAAACATACATATATAATAACGAATTGAATATTTCTATAAAATATTATAAATTTAAAGTATTATCCGAACTATCTGTGGAAAAATTGCAGGAGACCGCAACCATAAGCGCCTTTCCCTAAAAGTTAATATGTGCCTTGCAACTATATTGTCACAAGAAAGAGGGCATTTATAATGACACCTCCAGCCACATCAATTTCTATCACTCAAAATACTACGGAGATGGCGCTGTTCAGGGTTCCTCCGTTTTGGCATCAACCTCAGCATCGAGAGATAGCCTGCTTACGAGGGGCTTTATCCGAAAATTTAAATTCTTAAAATATCACAGTACTGCCAAACAGATTGCAATAACTTCACTACTTACAGCCTCTGGTCCGTCCCTACTTGTTCATCAAATGTTTTGTATTGGATTATTGTAATTAGAGTGAAAACAGATACATTACTCACATGAGTAGAGAAAGCAGAATAAGTTTAAACTACTCTTCTGTAAACACACAATATTATTATTTTAAAAGTCAAAGGTGTGGACAGGATGCAATGATCTTCTTATTACGCCCCGCCACATACTCTCTCTTTCTTTCACTCTCCACCCTCTCTCTCTCCTTCACTTTTCCTCTCCTTCCTCTCCCCTCTCCCTCTTTCTTTCCTCTCTATCTCCCTCTCTGCTCTATCTCCCTCTCTGCTCTCTCTCTCTCTCTCTCTCTCCCTCTCTTTCTCTCTTTCTCTCTCTCTCTCTCTCTCTCACCTTTTATCTCTCTCCTTCACTTTTCCTCTCCTTCCTCTCCCCTCTCCCTCCATCTTTCCTCTCTATCTCCCTCTCTGCTCTCTCTCACCCATCTCTCTCTCTCTCTCTCTCTCCCCCTCCTTCCCTCTCACTCTCTCTCTCTCTCTCTCTCCCCCTCCTCCCCCCCTCTCTCTCTCTCTCCCCTCCTTCCCTCTCACTCTCTCTCTCTCTCTCTCCCCCTCCTTCCCCCCTCTCTCTCTCTCTCTCTCTCTCTCCCCCTCCTTCCCTCTCACTCTCTCTCTCTCTCTTCTTTTCACATTCTCTCCCCCCCTCCTCCCCTCCCTCCATGATTCAATGGACAGAGGGGCGGGGTCGTACCCTCTCTAGCCCAACCATTCTCTGTTAAGACGTCATTTTTGCTGATCACTGTGAATGCACTCTCAAAGACATTGGTAGCCCACAAGATATCTTCTTCAAGTTCCACCGTGACATCATCGTCCCAGCTCGGAGGCTATACGAAATAAGGAAAAAAAAAATCTAAAATATTTAATGCAAATATGATCCCAAAGACTTTCAAAAATCAATTTAAAGACAGTTTCAATATCCTATTGTTTATCTCGTAAAAAATGTACAGATTCCATAATATATCATTGTAATGTTTGCTCATTCGATAGGTTATGGAAAAGGCTACTGAAATTGCTTTTGCATGATTTTTCGAAGAAATAAAAGAGGTTACTCTTCGTGATTAGAGATGTGCTGCATCATTATATTTAGATCAATAATTGTCGGGACACCCTAAGTTTCATTTTTTTTTCGGGGGGGGGGGGGGGTGTCTTTAGGGGGCTTGGGACTCTTGCAATCTCTTTCTACATATGCCTCTCTTAAATCAATTTGTTATCAATGTTGGATTTTTTTAGAGCTCCCTCTAAAACCGTTGTACATGTATACCTTGCCATGTGTCAGAGTGATCTCTACGCCGGTTTGTGATGAAATCTCACTCGCGACTGCATCGAGAGTTGTAGATGTTGCACAGCGAACCATTCTATATATGACAAATGTTAAAAACGAAAACAACAACAAAATTATATGAATCAGAGTTGTTTCCTTCGACAGGTCATATTATGGTTTGATATTTGAAAGAAAGAGTACTGTTTTACTTTAAAAATGAATGGGTCTAGCTGATTTTGATTAAAAAAAACCCCACAAAACAAACCCACAAACAATCAAACACAAACTTTTAGGGGAGAACTCGATTCGATCTTTTTCTTCCACCGACTGTTATTTGGGCTTCGATGATACTGCTCGCATTCAATTCTCCAATAAATAGAGAATAAAACTATATAGTTTGTGCATATTGAAACATATTCAAACATAGTTGTACCTTTGAACAGGGGGTTGGGCAACCGCTTCATTCAAAATGACAGAAAAAAATTACGGGGCCCTTCATTTATATTAGTCATGAGACATGACAAGTCTTCAGGCTCGCACAAAAATATTTTTTTCAATTATGAAATCCTTGTCTGTGTCATTCTCGCTGTTGAATTTTCTTGATTTGCGGACATTGGGGTTGAGATTTTCGCTGAGTTTGACATAACTCTGAGCCCCCCATTCAAAATACTAAAGCGTGACCATGAACTTACGTCAGATGTTCGAGTTGACCATGACGCCTCGCACTGCGGAGTATCGATCCCGCATTCTCATCTCCTATAGTGATATCGCTAATTGATAGTCTGCGCAGGTTGGTGGAATCTTCCAGCGCTCTACACAGCCAGAGAGGATGATCCAAAGATACTTGCATAGGCGGCTCAGCGGGCAGGAGTGGATCTCTAATAAAAAAAAACATCATCATATGAATCAGATCAGGGATGCTAATAAAGTATCAATAAACCTTCACAAACATGTGCAATGGCTCAGTGGTCAGAGCGATATCGATGATCCAATTGGAATAGTAACATGGGTTCAAATCTCAGTGCGCTAGCCCTTGTGTAGAAAGGCAGACCTAGCGGTGTCAAAAGGGGAGGGGGGGGGGGGGGGTTTGAGAATAGCACGAAATGTTATGATTTTTGAAATAATGTACAACAGTTATGTCACTTGTATAAAGATTCATGTTAATTGTTTTAATTTAAATTTGTTAATAGTAGTACTGTCCTTTGTGGGAGTTCAGCTATTAAAGATGAAGTTGAGTTCTGGTCATGCGATTGCATTGTGAAAGAAACGGTGTGAAATCGATCAGAAAAGGTTGATCATCTAGCATATAAGAATTTGTGTGTATTGCAAGGTTCTGGAATCATCAAAATGATAAGAAATTTGGCCAAGTCTTGGTAAGTTACAAACACTGTACACAGAAAGATATATATGGGAATACACGAACACGTGGCGTAAAAAGCCGGCCCCCCGATTTTTACGATGTTACATGCATATTTAGAATATGAAGGCATTTGAAGAGCCATGCTTTTCAGGGAACATGTCTTATCTGATGTTCTTCCACACTTGAATAACAAGAATGAGTAACGCTCACAAATTATTTTTCACCTCTTCCCAGAACTCAACCTTCTCTTTAAACTGTTATTATATATAGCGCTGTTTAGGGTGAAGGGAGTACTTGACATTACAACCTAACAAACAACCAAACAAGCGCATACAATCACAATAAAAATAAACATATTAAATGGACGTAGGCCTACTTGTACGCCTTGAGCGAAAGGTGTTTTGTCTTGGGGAACTTCTTGATGATCTCGACATGCTCTTGAGTGATTTCCTCATGGGTGAACTCTAAATGAAGTCTTTGTACATGAGGACACATGGTATGGACACCACTCTCAAGCACAGAGGGTATAGACTCGTCATCTAAGGCTAGAACCTCCAACTTGCTTGTTAGAGATCCTTCCTATAGTAAACAAAATTGATACATATACATATTAGCAGTTACTTGGGCATGGTCATGATGATTCAGAGGAAGGTTGAGCACTAAGTTGGGCAGAACACCACCTTGAGCGATCGTCACCCCGCCCAAAAACTTGTCGACAACGACATCTTCGAGGGAAATGCCGGCGCCAGCTTCCCGCCTCGCTCAGTACAACAAGAAGTTGGGGTATAGTTAAAACTAGTTAGAAGTTAGAAGTAGGGTAGGTTATAATATATATTTTCCCTTTATATCTGATTTTTGATGTGCAATAATCTGACTACCACTTCTGGTTTTCTACCATAATATACTCTTTACAAAAAGTCCAGTGCCTACACCGGGGCAGAGGAGGGGGGGGGGGGGGGGGGGGGAGTAGAATTATAATAATTATGTTGAGGGCCCTTAGAATATCAGTTTTTTTAACTGAAGATGCAACCCAGATAAAATAAGAATCGAAAAATGAATATTAAATATATAAATAGAATATTCTATGTCTGTGGTGTTAACTCAAAATCTAACAAAATGCATCCAGAGACAACTCACCAAATCCAAGGCCGTCATAGTAGAGCAACATTCTTCGCCTTGAGTGACACCAGCGTCACTCATGCCCTCGTCACCACCACCGTCTCCATCGTCATCTTTATCGTCATCATCAACATCGATACTTTCACCGTCGTCGTTATTATCATCATCGCCATTATCATCATCGTGGTCATCGTTATCGTCGTCGTCATCGTCGTCGTCATTGCTGCCGACTATGACTCCCATCATCCTGAGTTCGCGCATGGTTTCAAGGGAGAGGATAGTCCGTATTGCTTGTAGTGTGACCTTGATCTCAAACAATATGAAAGTACTGATCCTCACCTATATTAAATCAAAACAACAAAACACAATAATCTTAAAAATGAAAGCAGAAAATGATCACAAAGTAAACGTTACTTGCAACAGTTTCAACGGTAAGATCCAATACACCAGTATGTGGCATGTAATCGTTCGATTTGTAAACGTTAAGTAATTAATTGGTAAAGCAATTTAATATTGGTGGTGGAAGGACGATTGTATAACCGATAACTGGTAGTCATTATCAGAATGTCAATATCTTTTTCCGTCCTTTTAGCTTGAGTATTCAATTCAGTCGGATCCAATTTGTACATAAAAATGACGACTTTATTCAATTACCTTTCCAAGGAGGGATGAGATGGTTAATGCAAAGCTGTACTCCTCCCCTAGGTTGCTATGGTTACTATCCAGGCGGAGAGTTTGAAGGCAGGGTAGAGAGGAGAGAACCTCAGCTAGGCGCTGTGACGCGAGAGGACTTAGCTCTCCCATCTCCTGCACCCATAGCTTCTCAATCTAAAAACAGTAATAAACGAGAAAAAAAACGAGAAAGATATTGATGGTTAAGCCTCTATCACCATGAATGCAGTTCTCAGACCCGCTGATATAACGAAAAATAATTCCATAAAAAGCGAGGTTTTTGGTTGTGTAATTTAGGAGTGCCTACTGGGTTTAAAAAGGGATTGGGGGGGGGGGGGAGATTCCAAGCTGGTACACCCAAAATCTGCAACTGGCGACATGTACAACAAGAAGCAATAACTTTACCTTATGCGATGTTGAGCCAAGAGGGCGACTGATTTCATCCTATGCTCAAGAACATTAGGGCGTCCATATAAATGCTATATTTTTTCTCTGGGTATTTGTACAAAATTTAAGAAAGCTTCCCCTTTCTTCATTCTTCTTCTACCAAGTTGTTCTCCTCCTTTGTTCGTAAGGTAATGTAAACATTGACGTTGATATACATCAAATATACCGGTTCAGAAGAATTTGAAAAAAGGGGGAAGGCTGACACTCTAATTTATTTATTTTATTTATTTATTCAAGTCTTCTTTATACAGGGTGGCCCTTTCAATAACGAGTATTGCTCTTCCAAGGGGCCCTGTCTATACAATTAAAAACATGTAAAACATTGCACATTAATATGGTATACATACAAATAAAACCGATATACAAAGTAACTAAAATTACAACAAGAAATACGAATACAATATATGAAATATTAAAAAAAAAAAAAAAAAAAAAAAAAAAAAAAAGTTTAAGAATAAATATTGCAAATGAAAGAAGAAGAAGAAGGAAAAAAAAAAGTGTTTGTCAGAGGGCGTTTTGGATACTGAGAAGCTTGCATTGCCTCTTAAAGGACAATAGGGACACACTAACACGTACATTAGGAGAGAGGTTATTCCACATGAGTGACCCTTGGTAGTGAAGGGATCTTTTGAAATAATCTGTTCGGGGAGTTTTAATGAAGAGTGGAGATTGTGCAGAATGCCTGGTATAAATAGAAATCTTTCTCGGGATAACTATTGGCTTGAGATATAAAGGCGTGAGATTATTTTGAATTTTGTACATATTTAAACAAATTTGGTAATTAATTCTTTGACGTACTGATTGCCAGGAAAGTTCAGTCAACATAGTGATGTGAGGGGTAAAAAAATCAGCTTTAAGTATGAGTCTTGCAAAACGGTTTTGTAGTTTTTGAATTCTTGAAATATGACACATTGCACTTTGTCCCCAGATAATATTGCAATAATCGATGTGCGGTAAAAACAAACTATTATAAATCATTAACAAAATACGTTTCGGTAAAAGATATTGAATACGTCTGATATAACCAATAGTTCTTGATAACTTATTACATAATGTATTAATGTGGCAGTTCCACCGTAAGCAAGAGTCAATTATCAAACCAAGATATTTAAATTCATTAACCTGTTCGAGTTTGTTGGTGTTTACATACATTTCTAGTTTCTTATTTTTCACTTTAGATTGAGTTCCAATTAACATGCATTTTGTTTTCTTTACATTAAGGGTTAACCGATTATCATCAATCCATGCAAGGATTTTATTCAGTGCTAGCTGTAACTCTTTCTGGACAAGAGAACATGATTTCCCTCGACAAAATATAGCGGTATCGTCAGCGTACACACATAGTTTAAAAGAATTACCAAATTTAATATTACATGCATCATTAATGAATATAGAGAACAATAGAGGCGATATCATACTCCCTTGCGGGACACCTTTCGATATAGGTCTAAAATTGGAAAGACTATCGTTCACCTTAACACATTGTTCACGGTCATGTAAATAATTAGAAAACCAAATAGCCTCTGTTTCTTTTACACCATACGTTGATAATTTAGATAAAAGTAGTTCATGAGAAACAGAATCGAATGCACTTTTCAGATCAATGAAAACAACTCCGGTCACCAAGCCTTCTTCTATGTTACGTAACAAGTATTCATTTACATCAATTAAAACGCTATTTGTTGAGTGCAGTGGGCGAAAGCCAGATTGGAGTGAACTCAATAGTTCATTGTCAATAAAATACTTGTATAGTTGAGAATGTACAGCCTTTTCTAGAATTTTCATTATATGCGGAAGAACCGATATAGGTCTATAGTTAAAAATCTCTTGTTTACTCCCGTTTTTATATAAAGGGGTAACTCTTGCTTTTTTCCATTCTTTCGGAATACAACCTGTACGAAGGGAGGTATTAAAGATATGAGTGATTACTTCACAGATAAAAGCACCCCCTTCTTTCAAGAGGAATGGGTGTAAGGAGTCAAGGCCCGGTGATTTCTTTGTACTTAGACTATTCAGTTCTTTAAACACGTAATCTTCCGTCACATATTTAAACTTGAACGTTTCAAAAGTGCAGTGACTTTCTTCAGACGTATCACTGGATGAATCATCACTTTGAGGTGTAAAATGTTCATTAAACAAATTAGCAACTTTAAACGGTTCAGTTTCTATTTTATCAGTGACTGTATCGTGAATTGCTAACCGATTGTTATTAACAGAGGGGGAAAATTCTCTCAAAGTTTTCCAAGTATTTTTAGAGTTAGATTTATTGATATCGAATTGATGTAGATAATAGTCTTTCTTAAGTTTTTTATTCCAATTATTTAATTTATTCCTAGCAACTTGAAAACGTTTCCAGATGGACATATCATTTTTATCTTTGTTACCATGTTTACCATCAAATCGCTCTTTAAGATAATCTCGTTCTCTTGAGAGAGAAATGTAATCATCAGTTATCCATGGGGAAGGGTTCTGTCGTTGCCTAACGGAAACTATAGGTGCATGCTTATCACAAAGTTTCACAAACAAATTTACAAATATACTCCATTTGCTATCAATATTAGTGGTATCATAAATATCATTCCAATTCAGTAATCCACCTTCATCCAAAAACTTTTCCCGGTCGAAGTTACGAAATGAACGAAACCGTTTGATAGTTGGGGTAGTATGTACTTTCTGAGTTTTAACATCAACGAAGATCAGAGAATGGTCACTAAGTCCCATTGAAACAACATCGTGATTGAAATTGTCTTTCTGATCATTTCCTTGTTATTTGCAGGCCAAACATTAACAAATCCTTTATGATATTGCCCTCAGCGACAATTATGAGGACTTGATTATTCTATTATGTTCTGGATTTAAAAAAAAACATGAAACAGAAATAAGGTAACCTAACCTTGGAAGAGGGTGCAGTTTGAGCAAAGGTTGAGTAGAATGTCTCATCAAGGGAACTAGGCTGCAGGAGCAATGTATGTAACCCTGACATCGATGAGAAACCCAATGAGAAGTTGATTGTTGAGCTTTCACTCAGCTTGATCTCTTCTCCTGGAAATATACACAGCTTTCCGATCTGTATCAAAAGTAAGTAGAGATTGAAGGGAGTGTAGCATGGCAAATACTGGTTAACGCCATCTACGATTTCTTTTGGACAACTGCACGTAAACGAATGGACTTGATTAATGACGGTCAGCACGCGCTAGCGTTCGTGAAATAGACCAAAGTTCTCCTCACGCTTCGGTTTGTCGTATGTTGCACGCACGTGAATACTGCGATAGCGTCGTCCGTAGTCGTATTATACCCGATTGGCCCCGAGTCATGCTATACCCCCTTTAACATTTCAACCCAAGGTACATTGGTACATTGTCTTGTTGAACCATTATCAGAAAATTAAATAATAATGAAAAAAGCTTTTCCCCAACTTCTTGGTAAACTTGGTAAAGAACATCGATAGCTTGTTGTGCAGATGTGGTATCCGACAATGATGGGTGGTCGTGCAATACGATGCATTTTATATGTACATGTACATTTCATATCATGGTGGTTGTGAGATATTAAAGAAGAAGAAGAAGAAGAAGAAGAAGAAGAAGAAGAAGAAAGAAGAAGAAGAAGAAGAAGAAGAAGAAGAGAAGAAGAAGAAGAAGAGAGAAGAGGAAGAAGAAGAACAACAACAACAAAAAGAAGAAGAAGAAGAACAAAAACAAAAAATAATTTAGGTCAACAATGCATTATTTCACAAGTACGGGAGTTTTCTGTAGACAATATTTTAAATGGTCAGATACAATCTCCTTACCTTCGAATGAGAAGACTGCTCGGCCATCGTGGTGTAGAATTCTTCTCCCAGCTTCACTCCAGTCATACATAGCTCCTTTAGTTTCGGCATCGAGAAGAGGGCTTTCGCAAGGTGTTCGGACGCAGTTTGGCTGATGTCATCGTCCAGATGGAAGACCTTCTCGATCTGCGCGATGGGGATAAGATGGAAAACATCTGTTTTTATACTCAATTGATGAATAAGAAGCGGTTCAGCTGAAAGTAGAAGGTTAAATTTGCTCCTGATATTAAAAGCTTATTACTTGACTGGATTTGATTTGATTTGATTGGAATTCATTTTCAGATGTAAAAAAGGAAATAATAATGTAACAGCAGGCACAAATGACACACGAAGAAGTCATTTAGAATTTTATGTGGTATTTATTTTGAGGATGGATCAACCTCCTCTTGAGCTCTCGAGGAGAGACTCCTACGAAGACACCAAGACTATTAAGACCAACTAGCTAGTGCACCATCTCCAACTAAATGCCATCTCCAACCAAATGATGAAGTAAGAACTCATATATGCTGCAGAAATACAGTTCTACTCAGAGTTAGCTTCTCTGTCAACTCAAACCTCCTAATTCATGAGTGGATGCATGGTCTATGCTCATCCCTCTCAACCTGTGATGTGGCAAGAAATCCTTTCTCTGTATAGTACCCTATACCCTCTCTGACCCAAGGTCAAAGTGCACTTCCCCTGTGATGTGGCAAAAAATCTATTCTTCTCTCCAAGTCACCCCATACCCTCTCTGACTTAAGGTCAAAGTAAACTTCCCCTTTTTGGGACCACCTCAGAAGTACACTTAAAGGGATCTCCTTATTCAGAGACATGGATCCCTTCATTCAGGGACCTCCTCAACAAATAGAATTAAGAAACATTTCGACCTGTCACATTATCCCATGTTAAATAGTTGCTGTCTCAGCAACAAATATTAAGAAACATTTCAACCTGTCACAATAACATGATTGAATCATAAGAAACAATATGGATGGATAGCCATTCTCATCAATTTTGTGCCATTAAAACAGAGCTGTTCTACAGACGGGTCCAAATAAAAATGAACAAAATCATTACCCAATGAACCTGTGATATATACTACAACTTGCAAAGTATTATTTACCCCCAGTAACATGGGAGAAACATACAAGAATTAATTGCTCATTGGCCAGAGATGATTTGAAGTTATAAATTATAAATTGGAGCTTAATTAGAATTTGCTACTTCAAATTTAGTCGATTAAATGAGGAACAGAGAAATTGGCATAATTTGTTTTCGATAAGTGAGAATGAAACGGCGTTAAATGAACGCATCACTTCGGACAATTGATAAACCCTCCATTTTTCGCGTAGAATATTCTTTTTTATTACTACAAAAAAACGATATTTAAATATTTCTTGCCTCTGTAGTTGTCGATCTGTTCGCCATGGTCGAGATAAACTCATCACTTCCCGAACCACAATCACGCAAGGCCAGACTACGAATCTTCGGTGACGACATTATTCGTTCTGCCCCCTTCCTCAGAATTGCTCTTCCTTTTGGTAACGCATTTAGGGTGAAGATGTCCTGTATGGAAAATAGTTTGAAAAAAAAATCAATTGCAACAAAGAATTGTCACTAGTTTTAATGGCAAAAGCAGGAGGTTTAGCACCGAGCACATTCAATACATGGCCACAAATCGAGAAGGTGCCTCTCAGGCGACGGGACTTCTGTAACGAGAAAATGCCTCTCCCACATCCATGACATTGAAGGGGCATTCACCCTCACCTATTCACCATTCTATATCGAACATTCCTGGCAACCACGGGCTCATTCTTTCCCAAGAAAAATGAGCTTCGATGTTGTTCTCTAACTCCTCTATATATGATTTCAAGTGCTTTCTCCCCTCGAAATAGGAAACTGTTCTTGATAAAAGAGGGACTATCAACATAACAAGCATCTCTCCCATTTCCCTGATTTTATGATGTCTTAGAACTCTGTCATCGCACAGAAACGAACCACCTTTTTGGGCCCCTCCGCCTTCTCATCAAATCAGCTCTCGATTAACATAAGAAAAAGGGGACCATGGGGACTAATGGTCACCGATTAGGCATTGTTTGCTATATAGAGGGCGCCAGTAGCTATAAGTAGTGCAGTGGGGTTTTAATTAAACTCAAAGAAATGCACGTACCAGGGTTTCCACGGTGTCAAGTGAATGGATATGAGCAGCAAAGGATCGCTCCTTCGGGACACGAAGTGAGTTGTTTTTTACGGCAGCTCTCGTGATCGGAGAAGTGATCTCCTTGTCCTGGCACTCGAAGGCCACACGGAAGATGAAGTCCGTGTCGTCAACCGTCTCGCTCAGGAC